TATATGCCCACATTTTAAATCAAAACTAATCAGGTCTGTGCATCTAAGAATCAAGTTTCATTGAACTGTGACGATTAGTACTTGAGAAATCAGTGGAAAAGCTAAACATTTATTAATCATTAAGCAAATTGTGTAATTAATATATATGAATTTTTACCCAATACTAATCAAATAATTGCAAGAGTCCAAAGCATCTAATCATCAAGTTTCATCAAAATCCAATATATGGTTTTTGAGATATCAGTGTAATGAACAGACACACATAGAGACGCACTGACTGCAAAGACTCTCATTGTGTCCTTTGCACTTGAAAGTAAAAAATAAAGCATCATCGCCTCAAGTTCAAATCCCAATGATACAAGGAACAGATTTTTTCAAGGACTACATACCAGATGAAATTAGAAGACATGATTTTATAATCCTGACAATGGGCGACAGTGATCATCCATGCTAGATACAATTAAATATCATGTAACAAGCACATAAAATAGAATAAGAAAGAGCTGATCTGCTAAATGTGTGTTTTACATTAATAGAAAAACCAGCTTTTTTTTTTTTTTTCAATTTGCCATAGGATATGTAATTTCTACTAACCACCATTAAATCTGTCAAATGTGTTCAGCTTAAGTTATATAAAAAATTAAAAGCAAATTACTACATGTTTGATCACCTAATAAACCCAGCAGGCATTTGGGTTCAATATACTGCTTAAAGTTAATTGAATCCAAAAATGATCACTTTCAGTACAGGTAAATTCACTACCTAAGACAAACACTCACTTTGTCTTTTTCCAAGTCGTCTATAAGAAAGGAACAAGTATCGGACCAGTTTGCAACAGGAGAGAGTTGCGGCGTCTGTTTTTGTTCTCATTGACTCGAAACACACACCATCTGTAGTCATCTTGTAACACTGCAGTGAAAATAGATAACAGATGCCTTGAAGAAAATGTTGAATATACTTGTAAAACTGTGCAAGACCCACGAGGAATATTTTTTGTACTACAGCAAGCAATAAACCCTTTCCCTGTTCAGTATATTTTTCAATATTTCTCTTCAGATTGGTGTCAAAACATCGCCATAAAACATCTTGTAGCGGTGATGCAAACAATCTATTTAAAGTTGAACTTTGATTCATAAAAAATTATTTGGGACAGTATGCAATGTATCTAATGGTTAGAAATTACAAATGTTGTCAAGATTGTTTGTTAGAATTTCATCTGCTTTATAATATATGTGCTAGAATTCAAAAAGATTTGCTTCTTTTCTGGGCAGCAGTACTTCAGAATATAGAGGATTCATGAATTTGCATAAATTCAGACTATATTTTTGAAATATATTTGAAAAACATATGCATTTTTATGAACAGATGTGAGAAAGATTGAATATTCAGCAAACAGAGGAAGATATAATGTCATATCACTTCACATGGTTGGATCAGAGTAGTCAAATTACACAAAACAAAATTGAGAAATCATAACAAAAACAAGAGAAACTGGTGATATGTAGTCAAGGTGATGGAGGTAAAAGTCTGAATGTATTTGCATATATTATGATACTGAGGTTTTCTCATTGAAGCTGGAATGGAGGGATTAAAACATCAGGAATTGATTTCAGGATCACCAAGCACATTTTGAAATTAGGTGATTGATATAGAAACCAGATGAATTGATGGAGAACTCATCATGTTTGCTGTAAGTGCACTGTATTCAAACAGAAGATCAATTGTGAAGCTTATTAAAGCATTGAAACTAAGTTACCGGTATGTCAAATGTACAATAATAAGTGTATTTGCAGTATTAAAGATGCATAGAGATGCATGTTTTAGCAGGATTTAAATTACACTCACTAAAGTTAATGTTAACTATTCAACTGTTTATGAACAGGCATTTCTGATGGAGTATATGCGTGTACGTATAAACATCTCAATGTGCAAATCACGTATAATTAATATGCACAGATAAGTAGGAAAAGACAAACACTCTTAATTATTCCGAAATGATTCAGTAAAGAAATGTTTCACAAAAATACACACAACTGAAAGACATTAATTAGAAGTGAAATTAAAATAGAAAATAAAACCTTAAAATGAAGGTTTGCATAGAACACTTACTGTTAAATTTACTTGTGGGTGTACCACTAACAGTTAATGTTATTACGCCATTAGCATACCATTTCGTTTTATTTTTCTCAGGTTCATAACTAGCTTCAGGAACAATCTTTATGTCCAGTTTACCGGGATCCACCAGTTCTGAAAATAATATAACAATGAATGGAACATTAATTACGTCATTGGAAAAATGAGCATTCAAACATAGATCGCATTCCTTTATAATTAACACATCTACCATATTTGCTCTATTAGGAGCACATCTAAAAAAAAACACATATAAACCATAAATTGCATTTGCTGTACCGTAAAATACTTTATTTTAGCGGGATTTAATTTTCACTGAAAAGACTTTTTGGGTGTTTTGTATGAAATTTATTTTCACTGATTTTTGAATCAACTGAATGTAAAATATATGGAAAAAATTATATTCACTGGATTTTATTTTCACTGATTCTGAATAAATTATAAGTGAAAATAAAGTAATTGTACAGTATACTAAATCACTAAACTATTTCTTATTGTAAAAATTCTCTTTAATTTATGTGTTACGAATAGAATAAATACAGTATACCAAATGTAAACACAGGTCATAGCGTCGTCAAAACATCTTGTAGGATTCTACAAATGCAAAAGTATTTGTTTTTGGTATATCCACGCAAAATAATGTGCTATAGACATTTGATAGTCAATAGTGATGAAGTAAGGATATCTGTACGCCATATCTGCTTCTGAAAAATCGGCTTTTCGACATTGAACGATACAAAAAAGAATTTAAAGTTCAAAATCAAATCGTCTGATTTTTATAGCACACTTCCCGTTCGCACATTTCACACATTGTGCGAGATCGCACAGTGAATAAAAAATCACTTATTGCGGGCATTATTTAATCAACATTCAAACTACAATGATTTATAAGCACATCCAAATTCTGGTGATCGTAATAACCTCTTATTTCAAATTTTGAATAGCATCATCCATTGATTCATTCAGCGGGTTCATTCAGCTGACTTCTGAATTACTGTGCACTGACTCGGAACACC